TGTTATAGTTTTGATAAATCAAAACTATTATTTTTTTTTAGTATTCTCTGTTGTATTTTGCTCAGGAGATAAAAAGAAGGCAGATGTGGCTGCTGTGTTCTTGTTTCTGATCTGAAGTCTACCTTGGTGCTGGGAAGTTGGTTCATCGCTCTGTGAAAAGACAGCACCTTGGAATATTTTGGGTTGCTGGACTTTGTTAAAATGTTAGGTTTCTCCTTTCTGCTTATCTGTCTTTTCCCTTTCTCCTTTTCCCTTGCTGCATCCAGATTGAGGCCATTTTGAAGGGGCTGGTATCAGATCTTCATAGAACCAATGGGGTATCCATCCCCACACTGGACGATAGGAAGGTGAGGTTTTATTTCAAGGTTCTCGTGTTCTGCTTTCAGTGGCATTGTTCTGCTCTGCTTCATTTCTGCTTTTGAGTTTGCTGGCTGTGTTTGTGTACTGTTTGCTTTTCACTTGATATTCTTCATTTGCATGGGGATGGTCTACCATCATTTAACAGTTTACATGATTTTATTCTAGTGCATGACTGAGGCCTTTTTTTCATTTTTTCCACCCATGTTATATTCCACATTTTAGGCCTGAAAATTACTTAAAACCCCCCAACATTATATATTTTCTGAATGCCAAGACCTTATAGAATAAAATGGTGGTAGTTGCAAATTTTTATGTTGCGCAATATTAGCGCAACTCCTTATTAAACCCCAATATTTAGTGAAAAATTTAATTAAATGCCCCAAAACACAACAAAATACAAATTTTTTAAATGAAATATAAAAGATGAGGTTACAACGAGTAAAACGATACCCAACATGCATAGGTTACAAATTGCGTGCGTCCGTGAAACGGCAAAAAACTGCAGTACCCCAAAAAGTCAATAGAAGACGCTTTAAAAGCCCCCACAGGTCATCAATTTAGAGATACCCCAAAATACTGGCCCTAGAATTATTGCTCTCACTCCGGCGTGCGCGGCGATACCCAACATGTGTAGCGCGTTCGTCGTTTTCATGCGTAGGCGCACCCGACGCGTGTTTACGTGGCGACGCAGGGGCGGGTGACTTAATTTTTTTTATTTTATTTTTATTTTAAAAACGTTTTTTTTGTTTTTTACTTTTACTTTGACTGCTATCACATGGGGGGTGGCTTACAAGCCCCCCCATGTGATAGCAGATGGTGGCTACAGGTACTCTTTAATGTGATGCTGGGGGTCCAAAAGACCCCCAGTGTCACCTTTACACTGGAAATAAGCTATTGAAGTGCAGATCGCACTTCAATAGCTTATAGCTGGGCTGCAGGAGCCCAGAACTGACAGCCCAGGGACCGGAAGTGATGCAATCTGCATCGCTCCCGGTCCCATAGAACGGGGAGGGGATCGATGAACGGAAGTTCGTCGACCTCCTCCCCAGCTCCCCGCGGACACCAAGGACGCCGGTCCCGGGCCCGTAGGAGGGGCAACGGAGCCCGGGAAGCACGGGGGGGGGCGGCCCCTTCTTCGGGACACGGAAGCGATCTGGCGACAGGTAAGTTGCCAGAATCGTTTTTGTTGTAAAGCCGACTCTACAAGTTTAAACAGACTCCCGGCGGCAAAAGTCGCCGGGAGTCTGTTTAAACAGCCCCGATGCTGGCGACGTACACTGTACGTCGTCAGTCACGAAGGAGTTAAGTGCAAATGTTATCCAACTGCAGAAGTATTGGGACGCCTCCAAATCATTGGATTCAAGTGTTCCAATCACCTCCATGGCCACAGGTGTATACAATCACGCACCTAGGCATGCAGACGCTTCTACAAACATTTGTGAAAGAAGGGGTTGCTCTCAGGAGCTCAGTGACTACAAGCGTGGTACCGTTGATAGGTTGTCACCTGTGCAATATGTCCATCTGTGAAATCTCCTTCCTACTAAATATTCCACGGCCACCTGTTAGTGGTATTATAACAAAGTGGAAGCAACTGGGAACAACAGCAACTCAGCCACAAAGTGGTAGGCCACGTAAAATGACAGAGCAGGGTCAGCGCATGCTAAAGTGCACAGTGCGCAGACGTCACCGTCTGCAGAGTCAATAGCTACAGACCTCCAAACCTCCTGTGGCCTTCAGATTGGCACAACAGCAGTGCGTAGAGAGCTTCATGGAATGGGTTTCCATGGCCGAGCAGCTGCACCCAAGCCAAACCAAGTGCAATGCAAAGCGTCGGATGCAGTGGTGTAAAGCACGCCACCACTGGACCCTAGAGAAGTGGAGACATGTTCTCTGTAGTGACAAATCACGCTTCTCTGTCTGGCAATCTGATAGACGTGTCTGGGTTTGGCGGTTGTCAGGAGAATGGTACTTGCCTCACTGCATTGTGCCAAGTGTAAAGTTTGGTGGAGTGGGGGATTATGGTGTGGGGTTGTTTTTCAGGGGTTGGGCTTGGCCCCTTAGTTCCAGTGAAGGAAACTCTTAAGGCATCAGCATACCACGACATTTTGGACACTTTCATGCTCCCAACTTTGTGAGAACAGTTTGGGGATGGCCCCTTCCTGTTCCAACATGACTGCGCACCAGTGCACAAAGCAAGGTCCATAAAGACATGGATGAGCGAGTTTGGGGTGGAAGAACATGACTGGCCTGCACAGAGTCCTGACCGCAACCCGATCGAACACCTTTGGGATGAATTAGAGCGGAGACTCCGAGCCTTCTTGTACCTGACCTCACAAATACGCTTCTGGAACAATGGACACACTCCTAAACCTTGTGGACGCCTTCCCAGAAGAGTTGAAGCTGTTATAGCTGCAAAGGGTGGGCTAACTCAATATTGAACCCTACGGACAAAGACTGTGATGCCATTAATGTGCATGTGCATGTAAAGGCAGGCGCCCCAATACGTTTGGCAATATAGTGTATATGTGATTACCTTCCAAAGGATTTGTATTTCTGTCCATACAGTCCTGAGTTTTTTTTCACAGCTCTGCCATGCAAGCACAGTCCTGTCTGGCAGGGCCAGTTACATGATTTCTCTGTAGCAGTTTAGTAACACTTACAGGTCTTCTCCCTCCCACAGCCTATGATTGGACAGTGAAAGGAGAAGCAGCTTACTTGATGATCTCCTCTCTCTGTCATTCTGTTTGCCTATCGGCATGTTCCTTATTACAACAGTGTAGAACAACTGATTGGCTCATTGCACTGCGTTTTAAAAATTGCCAGTCTGTGCCAGTCTTTTTTTTTTTTTTTTGTTTCAATTTGTTTTTATTAGTTTTTGAAAAGTAACACGTTCTACAATTAGTACAGTCGGTGGTATAAATCATGTACATGTACATTTTTACAAGTGGTGTTCCGACATTGGCGGTTGGGAAATGCCAAAAAAGAGAGAAAGTAGAAACAAGCATTCCAAGGAGGTATTCACATTCTGTAAACGTCATCGATATGTGAGCTAGCGGGTTCCTTAGGTCGCACTGAAAGGAACATGTGCGGCCCATGCGCGCAGAGATACCATTGGTCCGTTCCCCGATCGAAGGCCTCTTGGCCGCAGGAGTGGTGTGTTGCATGTTCGAGGAAAGTATCATGGTATCTAGAGTATGGAACGTTAGGAGCCTGTAAAGGTGAGGTTAGAGTTGAATGTGGGGGGTTAAGCGGAGGGGGAATGAAGGGTAGGGGGGGTACTTGTTTGTAGCCAGTAGGTGAGTTGGGGCGAGTTAAGGGTAAAGGTGAGACCTCTTCATCGTTTTGCTATGAATTAGTCTTTGCGTTGCATATCGGTAAAGTCAGCCGTGCCTGCAAAATAGGCCCAGCAGGTTCACATCTTCCTGAATTTGTCTAGATTGTCTTGTCTAGTGGCCATTAGTTCTTCCATTTCGTAGACATGTCCCGCTTGTGTGAGCCATTCGCCTATTGTGGGTGTCTGTTCTTGTCGCCAGTGGCGGGGGATGATTGTGCGTGCTGCGTTGATGAGGTGTTTGTGGATGGATTTGGGTGCGCCTGTGGGGGTGAGTCAGTTTTCCAATGTAGGAGGGAAACTGATAAGGTGAAGGGTAGTGGGGTGCCGGTAATCTTTTGGATTGCTTTGTGGATTTGCTTCCAGAAAGGCTGTATGCGGGAGCAGGACCAGAAAATGTGTGGGAGGGTGCCCTCCTCTGTGTGATATTGCCGGATACATACGATGCAATAAATGTGGGGTCCTATACCAGAAACCGGAATTTAAAAAAAATGTTGTAATTTTTAATTTTAAACTTTTTTTATTTTTATTACTTGGGGGGGACTTACAAGCCCCCCATGTGATAACATATTGGCAGTGATAGGTCCTCTTTTTAAGGTGATACTGGACCCCTAGTGTCGCCTTTCCTCTCTAAATAAGCTATTGAAGCGCAGATCGTAGAAGCGATCTGGCGACAGCTGAGTCGCCAGAATCTCTTATTGTATAGCCGGCCTTTGCTGCCGGGAGTCTGTGTAAATGAGCCCGATGGTTAGGTGGTATCTATATTGAGAGTAAAATGTAGGATTTCTCATCACTTTCTGGTTACAAATGGTCACAAGGACAGATAGAGGGGGTGAGTCTCCGCAGCAGGAACAATCGCCGTCTTTAACATTACTCTACTCTATCCAAAACTAAAAACTAACTTTAAAAGTCTGAAGTCTGATAGGCAAAGTATCTGCTTATAGCAATGGGTGCAGTATTCCAAAATCCGCCTCCGGTTAGTTGGCCTTGTTGCTCCACGCGCCACACCTCCTCCCCGCCTCACGCTCACCGCTGTCAGACCTGCCGGCATCCACACCGCGTGCACCACACCTCCTCGCCGCTGCCAGACCCATCAACCGGCCACCCACATCCACGATCGGCACCGAGATGCGGGGAGAAGTAAGGAGGAGCAGGCATGGGGGAATGACAGCCACAGACGGACAGGCCTGATCTCAGAAGCAAGTTGCTGGAAGACTGCTCAAATCCCAGCAATACATTATACACTGTATGTATAATAAATTGCTGGGATTTGCTGTATTACTCTATAGCTGGTGGTATTTTGCATTGCGCTGTATAGAAGACTACAAATCCCAGCAATAATACATTATACAGTGGTGCAATGCAGAATACCACCAGCTATAGAGGACTACACATCCCAGCAATAGTACATTATACAGTGCAATGTAGAATACCACCATCACTGGAGCCATTTAAAAAAAAATCCGATTAATCAAACTCCGTAATCTGCTAACCGATTTTTCAAATCGTTAGCTGCAGCTCTACCATTTGTTTTGAGATTGTAGTCAATCACAAGAGCGAGCTTGATGATTTGAGGATCTATAGCTGAGTGATACACAGATCAAATACATTTTTCTTTATAGTTATCTTACATTAATGCATTTTTAAGGCTAGGTT